AGTATACTTCAGTATTCATCTGCGTGTGGGAAATTCAATCAGGAATTTTCATCCATAATGTTGCCTACACCTTCATAACTTGTACTCTTCCACAAGTATAAATAGAATGATCAAATCAAGGAGGATGAGGTGGGCAGGTCATGTAGCACGAATGGGGGAGATGAGTAATGCGTATAGGATATTGGTGGGAAAGCCAGAAGGAAAGAGACCACAGGGAAGACCAAGGCGTACGTGGGTGAACAAAATTAGAATGGATCTTAGTGACTAATGGACTAATGGAGGGCTCTTGTGAACACGGTAATGAACCTTCGGGTTCCGTAAAATGCTGGGAAATTCTTGAGTAGCTGCAGAATTGGTGGCTCCTCCAGAAGGGCTCAGCTCCATGAGTAAGTAAGTAAGTAAGTAATGTTGCCTACACAATGTACGACATGCACTGGTTCGTGCAGTAGATGGACTTTACAAAATAATTCCCTCCTGTATTCCGTCTTCTATCATCTTCTGCTGAAATCTGGTGGCAGATATAAGCATTAAAAATTGATATCTTAAAGCAAGATGTAAACTGATTGAGCAAGATAATCAAGAATAAACAACTGCGTGATTTTTCCTTTGTATTTTGTAGCCCAAGGCATCATAAAGAATCCAAGTTAGGGACACACATTTCAATATATAAAATTTCTTAGTCCTTTTCTTTTTCTTCATCTTGTGCTACAGTCTTGTGCTACAGTCTTGTGCTACAGTCTTGTGACAGAAATAACGCAAAGTTACCGGCAATGTTATTGCTAAGGATAAAGCTTACATAATTCTTTGACTGTTCTTTCTTAAAATATATCTCAACAAAAATGATTTATATTACGTTTTTTACACCCAGATCTTAGTGAGATAATTTTATTTTATATTTCTTTATTTTCCTATTCCCTAGCTTTATCGCCTTCTGCGAAATTTGGGCTTCCCAAGACCGGCGTGAAATTTTCTGTCATCCTGTATCAGTTATTAGGTTTCTTAAAGGATATTGCTTTCCAAGTTGGGGCTGTTATTTCCATGCCCACTTTGCAACATGGGGCCCAGGAATTACTATCATCTGGTCCATACATGGGACCTATCTATCATTAAGGGCTTATGCCTTCGCTAACATGTCTTTCTCGGCTGTGTTCATTACTTTCTGTGAATGGTGTTTGTTGTGAATATTTAGGAGACAAAGTTTGATGAGAGCTCAGTAAACAGTAGGTTACATTAAAAGGTTATGATATTGTTAAGTACATACCTCGATAAAAAAATTAAACCAAGTGCGTTCGGTATTTTCGCAGAAGAGACCCACGGATAGATGCATAAATATAACGTCCATATTACATTTTCACCTTATGCAATTTGTACAAAGAACGCATAACAAATGCCAACCATAAAAATCTACAAATTGGATATTAAATTACAGTGCTATTTTTCTCGAAAATTAAGAAGAGAAGAAATTAAACAATTATGTCTACGCAATTAACGTTATCCCCAAAAGAAGAATTTCATGCAACAGTTTTTGGGAGTAAATATCAGACACTCAGGTAATTACCTACTAATAAGGAACCTAAAATTCTATTCTGTTAAATGAAGCACCCATCCATGGACTTTTTCCCATTTCCTGATCTATGAAGTAAATAACTATCCAAGTACTAAGAGGTTACCTGAAAATAAAAACCGTCTGGTTTGTGTTCAGAAAGTGCTGGATTCACAGACTGGTTCAAGTCCTTCTTTATTTTCCCCATTTCTCAAAACAGAGATTAGTCACAACCTCGTTCACTGAAATCACTGCATTGACCTTGGTTGATAACAATTTCCTATTTATATTCCATCTATAAATATCTAATTAAATTGTATCACGCGTGAATGAGAGGAAGACTTAACTTTTGTATTAACTGCGTAATACGAGTGTCCCATCAGTTCTCTCTCCTCGCTCCAACTTTGGAGCATAGAGTTGATTTCTCAGTTTCACGATAATATTTTACAGACGGTAGGACTCCTTGGATGGGTGATCAGCTCATCGCAAGACCTCTCTAAATACAGGACCACACAAATACAGAATAAAGGCATACACACACCAAACAAGCATGACTTGTGTGGGATTCGAACACACGATCCCGGTTTTAGAGCGAGCGAAGACAGTACATGTCTTACATCGCTCAGCTACAGTGATAGGGCCTTATTCACCTTAATTTATAGATATACTCATACACGGATATATAAATATTAATTCAATTAAGATATATTTAGATATAAGCTTTAACACTTTTTGTGGTTAACTGAAAAGACGCACAAAATAACGGATTGTAACTCAATAAATGAATGCCACATGTCACAATTCCTTCTTCCAAACATGCATGTAAGCTGTATGAAATTCCATACACAACTGATAGAAAAATTTATAAATTATCTCCACATAAAATTTAATAATTCGAATTCTCAGTTTCTCAAGTAGTTCATTACTTCGCAATATCGCCACCATAACGAAACCTAGACACTGATTGCATGCAACTGCCATGTTCTTACTCTACTCTCTGCATAAAGAAAAAAAAAGTTACAATCGTTGAGTGTTCTTTTAAGATCTGTTATGACAACATTTCAGATCCGATATTAAATGTATCTTGGGCCAATACAAAGATTAGAAACATCCATCCTCTGGGAATTTGGAATTGTTATTGAGAGAAATTAAGCAACGGAAAACCTCCAGTGCTATCATGTTCATACTCAGTTTCCATGCAGATCCATCATTAAAAAGGCAACTTTATCTCTGGGCTGAATTAACTGATTAAGCACCAGGCCATGAAGACGCTTGAGGGAGTGGAGATGTAACTCCACGATTAATAACCGACGCAGCAGATGGTGAGTGGTCAGCTTCCCGCCGTTACCGCTTTCCACGCGGGGGAAGATACTGGAGGCTGGGTGGATCCCCAGAACCCGTCTTGCCCCTACCGCGAAACGAACACCGACTTCTCGGTCCTCCAGTCTAGAGTCTATTTCCTATACTGACTGAGCTATCCCGGTTCATATTGCGGAAGACAGACCAAGATCATGATCATATAAACCAATGGTTCCTAAAAACTAAGAAAAGGAACACTGACGTGTCAACTTCAAATTCTAGAGTGTTACCACTTCTATAAATCCCCCGATGGACGCAGCCAACTCTGTTGTACTCTTTTTCAGCTGCAGAGATATTCATGACCACTCAAGGGGCTGATCTGTTCTTGAGAAGCCACCAATTGTGCTGCTACTCAAGAATTTCCCTTAATATCAAGAGACCAAGCTTCAAACCCATACAAAACCACAAACAAACTTATAGTTTTGTAGATTATACTTTTGTGTTTTAGATTTCAGAAAGACAAAAGGTTCTGGACTGAATGGTAGCAAGCATTACCTGAGTTTAATCTCTTAATTTTCTCCTGAATCAGGTTTTGTTATAGTCGTTCCCAAATATCTGAAAAATGCCACATTGTCAAAACATCTGTTTCCTGTCTTTATGTCATGATTTTGCCCTGCATTTTGGTGACAAGACGGCATCATATACTTAGTTTTCTTTATGTTTACTTCTAGACCAACCTCCTCACTAGCGTCAATTAAAGTTTGTGTGTTTTTCTTTATAACTCTCCTGGGGAGTAAAGTGCGGCCGGTGTGTAAGGCTGACAACCTTACCGCCATCTTTCAGCCGATTGTCTAGATCAGGCATGTCAAACTTAGCTTGTACAGAGGGCCACCTCAGCCATATATAATAGTCCAGGGCCGCACTTCGAAATAAATATACATTAGATTTTGATACAACTACATTTAATTCTATTTATTATTTAGGAATAATTTCAATATAATAACCTAAAGTCACATATCTTACAGTTTTAAAAAGCAAGAGAATGCCATGTTTTACCAGTATCGAACAACTTTTCAATATGTAAAAAGAGAGATTACACAAGAAATTATGTTAGAAATAGCAAAACATTGAATTTCCTGCAGCCTGCTAATTTATGTCTGCGTGAGACTTCTTGACTTCTGGTCTGTTGGAAAATTATCTTTACAGAAAATAATTCTACTAAAATTTTAATATTGATTTTAATATCAATTAGCTCTAAAAGTTGAGGGGCCAATTGCGGCCCGCGGGTCGCATGTTTGACACGGCTGGTCTAGATAATGTGGGATCCTCAACGTCTCACAACCCTATGGGCCTTCACAGCCTGGTACAGGGTAGCTTTACTTACTTTTTATTTATACGTATATTATCAACCTGTAGATTCACATCTTCGGCATAGGCCAACAGCTGAGGTGTCCCGTTTAATTTCAGACCCACCTGGTTTCCTTGGACCTTCCTACTTGCATATTCTAAGGCAAAGTTGAAGAGAAATTGCGATAAAGCATCTCCTTGTTTTAGACCATTCTGTATACGAAGTTTATTAGACAAATGTTTACCGACACGGACTTTACTATACGTTTCATTTAAACACATTTTAATCAGCATAACTAGATCCATAAGTACCCCAAATTCTATCAAAATATTGTACAATACTTCCCTCCTAACTGAATCATTGGCTTTCTTGAAGTCTATGAATAGCTGAAGGACTGTATCATCGTACTCCCATTTTTTTTCCAATATCTGACGAATGCAAAAGATCTAATCAGTAATTGATCTGTTATGTCGAAACCCACATTGATGATCCCCAATAATTTCATGTATACGAGTATATGGACTTAACCTTCAGAGGAGAATATTGAATACAATTTTATAGGAAGCAGAGATATTTAGAAAAAAAAATCGTGAATTATATAATTGTACTATATCCTTATTTTTGTTGCGCCACAGCTCAAGCGGTTAGTTGCTGGCTTTCCACCGCGGCGGCCTGGGTTCGATCCCGGGTCTGATCAAGTGGGATTTGTGGTGGGAAAAGTGGCGCTGGGGCAGGTTTTCTCCAGGAACTTCGGTTTCCCCTGCCAATCTTCATTCCACAAATTGCTCCACAATCACTATCGCCTATCATCTGGGGCTGGTACGATAGGCCAGAAGTGGCCGCAGTAAAAGGGACTTAGTCCCACCCCACTAGCAATAAAAAATATCCTTATTTTACAGTTAAGAATTTGAATCTGGACTGGATAGTGTCGCTAGAGATTTTTAGCAGCACACCACCGAACTTTCAAAATCTGGTTGTTTGAATCTGTCTCGCGTAACTGAGTTAAATGCGATTCATTCTTTTATATAAAAATATCAAGAAAGAAATACTTTAAAGACGCCTGAAATTAAAAATAAATACTATTATTTTGGAATCTGTACCACCCTTTGCACATTCTCACACTGGGATACTTATCAGGCTCGAAGTGTAATAGAGAAAATCCTCCATATACTCTGTAGGGTCTCGTTACTTATTGTGTCTATATGAAACACACTTAAAAGAGGAAGGAAATATTCCTGTTCAGTTGAGGCCATTAGAAAGGATTATGTCAGGCACTGCAATAATAGTTTTTGTACTGTCCCTCCTCTTAAGTTTTTACGAACTTAACATTTGGAACACTGGAACAGTTTTCTTAATCAGGTGCTTTAGACCAGTTCCTTCTACAAGTCCAACTAATCAGAAAACTTTCCTCTCATACACCTGGAGACCGAAACGTATGTAGTTTAGAAAATGTCGTGTTTTAGTAAACTCAAGGAAGTGGACAATATCCCAAACACCGTTCCCACTACCGTGATTATGAAGATTCTATCTTCTGGGAAATACCGCTGTTCAGTCTGTTGAAGCTCATTCGAAGTTTAGAAGGAAAATGTAGCCTTCATCTTCAGGGTGGAGAAATAAGGCTAGCAAGAAACCAGAGTGAAAGCAAGTGATAAGCAGATCCAAGATGGTTGCAAACTTTTTCTTGGAAAAGTTAGTGGACACTCAGTGAACTATACAGCGTTATATTCCAGAAGAAAGACATTTTCGAAAATTACATGTTTATTGTAGCACACCAGAGTGAGATATATTTAGACTTAATTTAAGAATTAAGCCAATTCACGACAATAGAAATGGGAAAAAACATGCCTAAAATAATTAAGGTGTTCAGAATTGTCGGTTTTTCGGACTTTGTCCATCGTCAGGCATTCTAAAAACTATACATCACAGCGTTTCAGAAGCTGGTTATGTTTCAATCCTCAGGTGAGGGGGTGAGACACTTACTCTCTTGGGTGCCTTGGAAAGAGCTAACCTCAATTTAAAAAATGTTAGTTGCCACTTGTGATATATGAAGATAACAAAGATTACACTGGGAAATATTTGCGGTTCCAAGTTTGTGTGTATATAGGTAATAAAGAATTCAAATTAAAAGATAACCTAGCATGTTGCTTTGTATGCACCACACAAACCTCTCTAGAACCGAATTTGTCCCCTAGTGTCAAACAAATTCGGATCTACAGGGTAGATGTAGAGCATGACTGCTATGTTGATCCTCTTCTTGCTCGGAGCCTGTTGCAGAGGACTTCTCAGTCTGTCGCGCTCACACCTGAAACAGAATAAACAGAACACTAAATCACACACAAATTTGAACCCAAGTTAGTAATTATTACGTCCTGTGACCTCTACACTAGATGGAGGAGAGAGGTCAGCTTCATGACCCAGCCGCCTTACTCCAGGGGAAAGAGCCCTAGGTACCCATTGGTTAGAAGGCTGTCTGGGTCCCAGAGCCGGTCTGGACGCTGTGGAGAAGAAAAAATATTTTCCTTACGGGCAACTGAACCCCGACCTTCCTACTCCTATCCCGTCGCTATACCGATTAAGCTACCTAATCTCTTCATGTGTGTAGATGCAATTCGAAATTTATTCATACGATTTTCTGAGGCTGCTTGTTAGTAGCCTAAATTTTAAGTTTGCCAAGACAACGATCATATGTTTGTGGCCTTTATGTGTTTCTCTAGCATTGTATTCGCAACTGTTCTAAATATGCATTAAGATTTGAAAGTTTCACGCAGACTATAAAATCTGCCCGGGCAATGTAGCCCTGAAGATGGAGATGGAGATAATCTCCGAAACTTTGGCCTTTACCTCAACATTGATACCTCCGATCGCCTGGGAGGGTTTTATTGTAGTTGTTCATTTATTAAAACAGTTTTGGTGTCTCAGTCGTTACAGCGACGGACTACAAGCTGGAATGCCGTGGTTCGGTTCTCAGCAAGGTTAAGTTTCTTTTCTCTTCTCCATGAAATCTGGATCAGCTCTGGAACCCACCCAGTATCATATCCAATGGATACTGGCGTAGCTTGGGTAAAGCAGCCGGTGAGTTAAGCCGACACTAACTCCATCTAGTGCTGAGATCAAGAATGTTTTACATATATATCCACTGCCCCATATATATTCATGCATAGTGTTCAATTATTCAAGAATTGGGACAACTTTACATTTTTATATTTATTAAATATTAATAGCAATCCAAATGCCACGAAGAAAATAAATAATTAATTAAGGAGTAGAAAAGGATAGAAGCAAACAGAAAGACATGAAAGATAAACAACAGAGACGAGATGAAGACTGAATTCAAAGAATCTTTGATAACATGACCGATCCAAACAAACCCATAACACTTATGCATTGTGATGCTCGATAAACTATATGGAACATTATAGCAAAGTATTCCAACTTAAAGGACATTACATAAATTTCCCAACACATTACTCAACTCCCTTTAACTCACAGAATATTATGAATCTAAAATTAAAACTGGGATGTCCTTAACCTCATGAGGGTAGCATATTAAGATAGCTCATCTGTGACGTACATTTAGCAAGTCCTTCTATGACAGGCTTATAAATTGTACTTCTCCCCTACGTAGGAGTCCTAGTCTATGCAAGTACTGCAGCCTCGTGATTAATGAAGCAAGGTCGTTGCTTTGAGTTCATACCCGGGTCAGGCCTAATGTTTTTGCTCCCATCAACATCACAATGCTACATGCTCGTCCCTTCCTACTAGAACCACAGTCGGATACCTCTAAATGCAGTGGCACTGTTTAAACTGTTGTTGCGCTTAAAGACGACCTCTCAAATTGAGCTTTCGTCCATGGTTTATATTACGTAAATATTTCCGTCCTACCCAGGGAAGTGGTCCATCGTCGGCATGTTTCTCTTATGCAAGGATGGCCATTGGTTCGAAACTCAAATTCAGTTATCTTGGATATTAGTGATTTGCTTACGAGCAAAGCTTGCGACTAATTCGTTATAAAGATTTTTATAGTCAATACTTGAATTTATTTTATTCCTGACAAAACAGCACAATTTTCAGTATTTTACTGTCTATGATGATATGGTTTAGTAGTATGTACCATCTTCAGGTCTAGTTTTACTTAGCAATTATTCTATCAAGGACTCGGCGTAAATCTTCCATGCAAACCGAGGGGATCCACCGGTGTGTTATACACTGTACTCTATAGTCTATATTCACTCACTCATTCATTGGACCTGAGCCCTTCTTGAGAAGCTGCCAAATCTGCAGCTACTCAAGAACTTCCCAACATTTTATGGAAGTCGAAGGTTCATTACCGCCTTCACAAGTGTCTTCCATCGGTCCCTATCCCGAGCCAGATCAATCGAATTTATCCCATCCCAACCTGTTCCTCTAAGATCCATCTTAATACTGTCCACCCACCTACTTCTTCGTCTTGTCAATGGTCTCCTTTCTTCTGGCTCCATATGCACTCCTCATCTCCCCATTCGTGCTACATGGCGTGCCTATCCCAACCCTGCTTGACTTGATCATTCTAATTATACTTGGAGAAGAGTACAAGTTATGAAGCTCCTCGTAATGCAGTTTTCTCTAACCTCCTGTGACTTCATCTCTCTTCGGTCCAAATATTCTCCTCGACATCCTGTTCTCAAACACCCTCAGTCTAAGTTCCTCCTTTAATGTCAGAGACCAAGTTTCACACCCATGAAGAGCTACAGGCAGTGAAGAATAATAGTATAAGGTCATTCGTGGATACGTGGTAATTGTATCACATATTAGCTGTAAATAGAGAAAACATAAGCAGGCAATCAATGAATAACCTAACCTACTGTTAAAACTGAATTTAGGATAAGTAGAAAATATTTGCAATTGTGGGTCCTATCTTTTATTCAATTTCCTGTAAATTTTGGTAGTTTTGCTTCCAAACACCTGTTGCTGCCTTGCAGATACGTATCACTCGTACACGTGTGATCTCCGAAAGCAGCAGGCACACGACAGCTCGCCTACTTAATATGAGTATTTTTGGGAAATGTGAAAATTAAATGACTATTAATGTTTGCAGTGTACACTTAAGAAGCACTATTGCCAGAAGGGCCTGTAAATGAAATAATACGACTAATATGGATTATTCTTTTACAATAAAGAAACATTAAATATACATGCAACTATTCAAACTTTGGGCCGATTGTCTAGAAAATGTGGGACCCTCAACATCTCACAATCGTATGAGCCTCCACGGCCTGTTACAGGGAGAGCTTTACTATTCAGATTGTATAGAAGTCCAGACTATATACGCCTGCTGAATGAATTAGTAATAAGGCTTGAATATTAACTGTCATTTCAGAACATTTACAATTATATATATAATATTTTAAATACATATTTCCAGAGAAGGCAAGATTAATTCAATATAATAAGATAAAATGCAAAGGTAAATTTGTCCCTGTGATTAATTAATTAACATCAAACTATTAAGACGTTTGAGGGAGTAGAGGTATAACTACCAATCTTTACCTCGGCACTAGACGGAGCTGAGTGGTCAGTTTCACGTTTTGGTTATTTTACCGCCAGGGAAATAGCCCCTCCTGTATTCATTTAGTAGAGGGTTGGGTGGGCACCAGGAATAGTCTTAACACTGGGGCGAAGACAAAATATCTGGTCCATACCGAGAAACGAAACCCGGAAATCCAGTCTTTAGCCCATTGATGTACCGACCGAACTAACCCGAAATAAACCCGATTTTAACGCAGCGTAAACCCAGTGGTCGCTCGGTCTGAGCATGAAATATTTTCGCCCTCTCGAGCACTGGGATCGTGGGTTCGAATCCTACTCAAGGCATGGATGTCTGTGTTTATTCTGTGTTTCTGTTAGGTAGTTACCTTGCGACAAGCTGATTCCCGTCCAGGGAAACCTACCGACAGTCTAAGAAACTTAAGCGATACGAAGCCTTTCACGGACGCCATACGCTCCAATCGGGAGCAACAGAAACAGAAGTAGAAGAAGACGAAGGACAAGAACATTTATTTTGCTTAACTATCTTAAGAACTAAGTGTACTGGCCATAAAATATGTTCCACTCTCCTAGAAAGTTGTCTGCGACAAATATTCAGCGGGATATGTGCCGAAACACACAGATATCTCTAAGTAATTTCGTCATTAAACATCTCTGATCAAAAAGAAAATTTGAATGGATAGACAATCGTTAATAAAATTCTCCGGTACCAAGTTTCATGAAAATCAGTTCAGCGGTGCTCTTGTTGTTCCATACCTGAGGTCGGACGAACTCAACGGGTTCAAAACAAATCTGAAAAGGGAAAAGATAACAACAGTGAACAGAAAAAAAACATAAATTAGTAAATAACAAACAAAGAAATATGTAGGCTATAATTCAATATAAGTAATTTATGGACAAACGTGTTTTATTATGCTGTTTTGTGTCTTATTTTAATTTGCAATATCCGAGTAATGATGTAATTACTATCTTATGAATAAATTTATTTTATGAAGATGATATATAATAAGCATTTGCAGTTACATCAAGTAACGAGTATTATGTTACGTTTATACAAATATTTTATAAGCGAACCCGTTTTAACCTAGTCGAGGTCAAATTGTATAAAGACAAGAGGAATTTTTAAGTAATGGCAGCAGCAGCAGTGACTCGGGTGTTCTCTATCCGCATGCGCTGTACACACTGTTAGAACTTGTGTAGCTACATAATTAAGTGACTATAAGAAGTAAAGCCCTTCTACAGAAGCTAATAATTGCTCAGTTAGTAAAAAAATCCATGCAGTTCAGGGAATTCGACTGTCCATCCACGTGTTCACAAATGAACATCCCTGGCCCCTATCCTGAGCTAGATGAACTCAGTCCATACCACCTTATTCTATTATTTTAAGACCCATTTTAATGTAATCGTGTAATTTATTCCTAGAACTTGCAGGTGGTCTCTTTCCTTCAAGCTTTCCTGCCAGAAAATTCTATGAATGGGAGCCGGGTAGCTCGGTCGGTATAGCGACCAGGCTATGGTCTGGACGCCGGATTTTCTCTCCTCCACATCATACAGACCAGCCATGAGCCCCACTCCCCCAAAGCTTCATATCCAGCTGGAACCGGAGAATATTTCCCCAGGGATAAAGCAGCAGCAGCGCGAAGCTGACCACTCACTTCCATCTAGTTACAAGGTTAAGAACAGTGGAGATATACCTCCACATCATACGTCTTCATGGTGTAATGATTAATTAATTAAGACTAGGGGTTACTCCTCTCTGTCCAATTCATCAACATGTATTTGATATATGATATCAAAAAATAGTAAAAACTAAGTTACTATATTAGTTATATTTCCTTTGGGAAAATCTGTATCTTTTTGTACCAACATCTGCATTCCTTTTGCAGTCTTAACGGTTTGTATTCCGTTTCTGCTCCTTGTAGTTCTGAATGATACCTTTCGCCACAATCTGATCTTGACAGACAGCAACGTGGCCTCAGCAATCCTGTAACACATTGAGTGATATCTCGTCCAAGCAAGAACTTCAGTCTTTTCATAAAGTTTGAACTGGGCTTCTTCTTGTCCCTTATTTAAAGTGTGTACAGCTATCGTAGTACATACGAGTCATAATTTGGTCCGACCAACCTGCCTTCTCTTCCCTCGAGATTCTACGTATTGTACACACATTTTCTGGGAAATGAGGAATTCCCTCTCCTGGGATATAACTCCGTGCACTCCGTTGAAAAGTCAATAAACGTTTCTCAAAAAATATCACCTCCATTTTAAGGGTTGAAGTATTCACAAAAGAATAAATATCATGAAACAGGTAGCAAGAGAAATCCAAATACCAGGGGGTTCTTTCCCAGACGATAGAATTCTTCACAGTCAACCCTGTGAGAACTTTAACTCCTATAACATATACTTACAATATAACCGTAAATTACTTCACAGGTTCTAAATTACCGAATGCTCCTGCAAGTTCAGTTATTTTAGTATCTAAATACTTCCATATCTTATGGAAGTTATTCGATGAAAAGCTAATACTTTTCTTTTGTTTGCAGATGTAGTCAGAAAGAAATAAATATATCACATGATTGCAAAATTCGTAATTCTGTAATTTTCTGATCCTGGAATGGAAGACTACACATGTGAATGGGTGGATGCTGTTTCATATTTAAAATAACACTCATTATGAACACCCACTTCAATGGAAATAGTCTCCAGCTCTGGTTTAACAATTAGGTATTTAGGAGTATATTATCTGTATAAACGTTTAATTATGAGTCAAATACAATGAAACTCTGCTTCCTATTAATATCTCCAACCACGTGTTCCTATTAGCTCTCGGAGTCTTGAGAATAATCAGAAACAAATAAGGAGGTTTTTATTAAGCACTTTGTCCTTCTCATCGCCTGTTTTATTTTAATTCCACTCTCTACGTATGACTTCCTTTGTGTAATCTTACTTCTCGAAGTAGTAGAATAAACTAAATTTTTATGATAACCGCGATGCAGTTTCTCGTGAGAATTCCTCCAATTGCTGCAAATAATTAGTGGTCGTTTTTATAGGCAGACCGATCATAGAGACAAGTTATTCTTCAGGAATATTATTAACTTTCAGCAAAGGTTTTTGTAATATTCTTTCATCTTTAGTTGAGCGTTTAAGTACTCGTATGCTACATTCAGACTCTGCACTGCATGTCTTTTTAAATACTTCACAGAATATCACATCAGTAATTTACAAACTTGAGGAATTTTGAAATCTTCCAAATTCTGAATCAAGCTTCTACTGTGACATACTGCCCTGCGCTGAACGCCATACGTCTCACTTCAACCGGGTCCTTTATCATCGTGTTTCATAGAATCAGGAAGGTATGGATGAGACAGTCTCCACGATAGCTAATATACTAAATATGAAAAGCTGAAATATCCGAAAATGGGGGGTTACTCAAGAGCGAGAATTTTGGTGGGCACAGCAGTTTGTATTCGTAAGAAATCCAATCTGTTATCATTACATTTGAAGAGTTACTTTGCGGGACTTAGGCAATATAGGGCATAATATAAATTTGATTAAATCGGATCAAGATAGGTCCTATTGATGGCTTCATGAAAATGCCAATGAAACATCGCATTTTGTAAAAGATTAGATTTTCTAGGCTAACTGAGCAAATATAAACTTTAAAAAAACAGTAATGTCGAATGTCATATTAGACAATCATTTGGTTTCAATGCTCTTCTGATAAGTTTCAGGGATTGACTTAATATTTTCTTATCGCAAATAATGATGGATTTTTAGACAGTTATTTCTGAATTCTGTATTCATTTGACATTTGTCATTCTTCTCCTTTTCACATTTTAATAAAAATTATTTAAGAAGTTGCGAAAATAAACTTTCACTCTCATTGGCCAAAGTACAGATTACTCCGCTGCCTTAAATTCGTACAAAAGTGATTCAGGACTTAAATGAGAATACGGTAATTAACTGAACATAAAAATATTTATCTATTCTCCTTGATGGGAATTTACTTTAGAAATTTTCAGTAAAGGTCACTTTTGCATAGACAGCTGAGAAAAATCTGATTTTTTGACACCAGATTCCTTTCCATCAAGTGCAGATTTCAAAAGCTTCTGAAATACTATACATTGGAATCGAAATTTGGAAAAATAGATTTTTCCTTATTCAATGCAACTTCTAAGACCATGTCTTCCATAGTCTTTCTTTAAGCAGTTTCCCCCCACAGATTTTTAAAACATTTGAGAAACGCATCATGGACCCATTTTTAGAAAATTTAGATTTTCATGAAATATTGAGCTGAACCCACATGTCATCCACTTCTTAAGCTTCTGTTCAATATTCATTCAAAATTTTATCAATTTTTATATAAACTAATGGATATACCTGCAGTAATACTGCATTAGTTAACTTTACTTTTTTAAATATATGTTCAATTAATAATTACAAAGGAATGTACCGACAGAATCTCCACAGTCAAAGCATGGAAACTTAACAATTTCTTCCTCTTACTTGTGGTCACAGAAGTGAAATCGCTAATCCGGTGCAACATCAATATTTAAACGATGACATCATCAAACACAAGGTCGGTAAATAAACCAGTTACTTAACAGCGACGTGCTAGCAAATATGAAGGACTTCACATACATAGTATAAGTTCGCTGTTGAGAAAAGTCTGGTCTGTAGGTAGTTTCTGAATCTGTATAAATGCATTTTGTGATTTTGTACACAACTCGAATGATGTACAATATAAATCAGCGATACACATATAATTAATAAATTTACAAATATAGGACACTTCATTTATATAACCCTACAAGGATTAACATGTGCCTTCAACGGTTAGAATTTAACATCTCTTAAATATGAATTCAACACATAAGCATATCACAATGAGGTGAGGAAGTGACAGGAGAAAATCACGACGCCGATGGGTTTGAAAGCAATTAATGAAAACATCGTCGTAAGTAGAAGAAAAAATCGTAATTTTGTAGAAGTAAAAGAACTGTTAATGTACTACTATTCAATGACTCAGAATGTACAGGGGATGGACAAAAATATGGAAACACCTCGTGAAATGCATGCCTGAATTGAAGTGTTTATTTTAGCGACGTTTGTAGGTCACGCTGCCGTATCTGCCCAACACCACTACCTGTACAACCTCAGCAATACGTTGCAAGCTTCATTTGTTGTCGAGACGGTGTTCTGTGCAATTTTTTGTGCATCACGTCAGAGCTAACAGAATTCGAACGCGGGCAAATTGCTGGGGCCCTTATGGTGGCTGCTCCCATAACCAAGGTAGCCGAGGTTTTTGGTGTATCGCGAGGCACAGTATCCAAGATTATGACCTCATACAGGAGGAGTGGAAAAACCGCATCCGATAAACACCAGCGTGAACGGAAATGTGTGTTGAGTGATCGAGACAGATGAAAATTGCGTAGGATTGTGACGAGAAATAAGAACACTACAGCTGCAAAAGTGACTGCTGAACTGAATGTCACGCTCACAAGCCCTGTCAGCACCAAAACAGTACGAAGGGAACTCCACAAGCAGGGTATTTCTGGACGAGCTGCAATTCCAAAGCCACATCAGTGATCGAAATGCCACTAAGAGGAGAGAGTGGTGCCGAAGTCATAAAACCTGGACTATTGAGCAATGGAAGATGGTCATTTGGCCGGATGAGCCCACCTTCACACTGTTTCCGACTGCTGGCTGAGTTTTCGTCTGGAGAATGCCATCTGGTCTGTTTTGGAGAGCAATCTGCGTGCGACCTATTCACCTCCGTCATCGATAACAGAACT